GGTCTCTCCTGACAACATGTCCAAAGCATGTGAGACGACGAAGTCTTGCCATCCTTGCCTCTAAGGAGCACCGACCTTACTTCTTCCAGCGCAGACCGGTTTGTCCTTTTGGCAGTGCATAGCACTGTCGGTCTTCTCCAGAGTCACAGTTCAAATACATCCATTCAACTGTGATCTTCTCTGTTCAGTGTCCGACTTTCACAGGCATACGAGGCAATGAAAAACACCATGGCTTGGGTCAGGCACACCTTAGTCCTCAAAGTCACATCCTTGTTCTTCAATCCTCTAAAGCGGTCTTGTGCATCAGATTTACATAATGCAACTTGCTTTTTGATCTCTTGACTGTTCTTTATACGAGTATTGATGGTGGATCTTAAAGGACAGAACGTTATTTTCTCACAGGTGTGGAGGTTAGTAGGTCAAGTCAGGGCTGCAGCAGTGTCGATACCATTCTCGTTAGCTCTGGGTGGTCCCTGGCTCCCTGGCAAACGCGCTCCCCCCATTTTGCAAACGCGCTCCCCCCAATGCCATGTGGCATGCATCCCTTGGCATGTGTCTGTCTCATCTCTCTATAATTCAGAAGTAAGTACAGATAGCACTGGCTCATAACATAACAAGGAGGCCCCGCCTCCACAGAGGACAGGGGTCAGGGTTCCAACATATGTCTTTGGGGCGGGCATGTTGGCTTCTAAGGGTGCGTGCACACTCTTCTCTTTATACCTGTTCTCTTTATACCTGTTCTCCAGTAGTCATAGCCTTGGGCTTGAAGAAATTCGCTACAATTCCAGCCCATGCAGTCAGTGTCATTTGCAGGAATGTTTCACACCGCTGGGGCAAGTCCCTGTATGAACCTCAGTGCACCAACGGGGATACACAAAGCCAACCTGGATCGAGCCTGAGCTCTGACAGCACTCAGTGTTGTGGTTTGACCCTAGGATCAGGGCCCTTTGGATACTGGTCAGGGTCCACACCAGCTACTGCTGTGGGACTGTTTTTGGGTTTTTTCCCCAGCAGTAGTATGGCGGTGCTTGGCCTGGGAGAGCCCTTGTGCCTGGGGTCTAGTCTTTCCACTCCCATGGGGTGCTGCCAAGGAAAGGAAGCTGGGTGCTCTGACCCACTAACCTTTGTCTCCTTCCCAGCCTCCGGGCTCACCCTTCATTCTCTTTGATCTTGAAGGCATCCCCTGCTCCCTCCCCCTGCATCTTCCCTGCAAGTAACTTCGATGTTTGCAAAAGACAGAAGGGCTTTTGATTCCAAGTGACTTCTGCTTTCCACCTTCAAACATCGCTGAGGGGAGGGAATACTTAATGGGCTGGATCCTGGCTTGAGATGAAAGAGGAAATGCAGGGAGAATCCGTGCAGATTGTCACTTTACTACGTTATCTGATGGGAGCTTTCAAGCGTTCTCCTGTTTTAGGGACACTGTGTCCAGGAATGAGTCTTACTGTGCTGGCCAGCAGTGAGCTCTGAGAGGGTAGAAGGATCTTCGTGTTTTTATGAAATAACAGGTCATTCTATCTGCCGAGTTTCCAGTTCCCAGGAGTGTGTTTCTATATGGCTAGCTCTAACTCCTGATGATATGACCAGACAGCTGCATGACCACTGTCTATCCAGCTCAAAAAGGAGCCCTGGTGGCACTGCGGGATAACCATTAGACTGCCAACAATAAGGTCCAGTGAACCCACCAGTCAATCTAAGGCTGCCCGAGCCCATCAAGATTAAAGTCTCAGAAATCCTTTATAGATGTGCTATGAGTCAGAATTGCCTTGATGACACCGAGGGGTGTGTGGGGGTGTGTGTGTGCATGCACACGCAGCTTGAAAGGTGGTCTGGAAGCCTAGTAGGCTAAATATTGGGCTGCTCATCCCAAGGTCAGCAGTTCAAACCTTGTGAGAGGAAGGTGAAGGTGTCTACTTCAGCCTGGGAAATCCTAAGGGACAATTCTACTCTGACCTCTAGGGTCCCTATGAGCTAGAATTGACTCCATGACAGTGGGTGGTGGTGGATCCAGTTTGAAGATTCAATAACACAGTTGAAAGTTGACCTTTTCAGGGCTTGGGG